ATATATATATATATATATACATATATATTTACCTATTGTAACTCGTTGCTGAATGTTGTATCGATGCTTCTACGTAAACACAAAGCTTGTTGGTCCTTCATCCGAAAATATGGGAAGGAGAAGTGAAAAATTAATGAGAATTTTATTCTGGTCCCAGTAACGCGAAAGGGAGGAGTTCTCGGACAAATTTGAGGCGTTCACTTAGTCAACCACTGGGTATTAATCAACTATCACCCTTGATGCGCACCAAAACTGCAGGTAAACTCAAATAATTATTAACTTAAAATCTCATTTGTTGATATTGTTCAAATTCTAACGTAGATTACATACTTTCCTTTCTTTCGTTTCAAGCAAATGAGTTATTTATCATTTTTTCTTACTTCGAACATTTACAAATTCTTATAATTTTACACATTGATTCACAATCATATTATTGCATAAAATTTTTATTACAAATATTTATAAAGTATTTATAAAGATATTTATAAAGTACAAGATCCTTTTTTTCTTTGTTTTTTCTTGTTGAAACACATTGCTTGTTTGCTTGGTACGAAAGTACATTGGTAGCGAACCCGTTGACGAAGAATTAGTGCACACTTTCTCTATTCCAGTGGTACTCCAATCTCTGTTTCTCTTAGATTCACCATTTTTTCCGACAGTGCTCTAAATTAGCATGCACCCTTTGTAAAAATCTCAAAGCAACCGTTGTAACAGAAAGCACCTGTAAGAAGAGTTCTTGAACAGTACGGAATGCGGAAACACTCCTGTATTAAACGTGTTGATATCTTCGTTCTGTAAGGATTGCTTCCTGTGAATACGCTTTTGTTCAAAGTAGAAAGCAACTATGCTTTTTGGAGCTTCATGAAATATTTCAGAAATTCAATTTCAAATTAATTCCTTTACTTAAAATATTGGAAATATTATTCTTGCGTAAACTATATTATTTCATAAAGCTCTACTATTAGAGAAAACTAATTACACCCACAAAACGTGATAAACAATTTTTTAATCTTTCGCTGCCAATACCAGCAAGCCTACGATGGATACCTACAGGGTGATTTAACGATTATACGATTGTTCTCTCGTGTTAAAAAATTTATACGACAAATCCAGCGACAGATAAAAATTTATAAAAAATTTATCTTCGATCTTCGTGTTCTTTATTCCAATAATAAAGACAAGTGTCGTTTTGTTTGAAATCAGGCGCAAGGTTGCCCGGTGGAAACGTCCTGTCTGAGGATGAACAGGATGGAAGAGGTGGGACTTCGGATGACGAGATGATGTCCGATTCGGAATCCTCCATCGCCTCCTTGACGGATAGAAAGAAATCCTTCGAGCAGACGATGGACGAGGAGGTTGTAATCTTGGCTGAAGCTGTTTGGGACCACGTGGCGATGGAACCAGAGGAGTTAGCTTTCCGTGCTGGCGATGTGATAGAGGTTTTGGATAATTTGGATAAAGACTGGTGGTGGGGTAGTTGCAGAGGAGAGCATGGTTGGTTCCCGGCTGCATTTGTTAGGGTATGTTTCTATTGATGACTTAAAAATAAATTATTTACCATTTATTTGAGAAAAATGCAATTTATTAAGATATTCGTTACATTTTATTTCATCTTTTAGGCAAATTTTAAATTTTTTAATATAAAAAAGATAGCGAATCGATATTGGTATTACTTTGAATTAATACACTGAGAATTCTTTGTTAAAAAAATAAACAAGTATTATTTTGAAGTTTGAATAACATCGTTGAATTTTATATCTTCAGTTACGCGTAAGCCAAGAAGACACTGTCGAGGATTGTTTGGCGGCGATGGCCTCTGGAGGTACATCGAATCAGCAATTGAGAAGACGTACCAGTGTCTCATTGTTATCAAACGAGCAAGTTAGAACGAGCGTAGTTCGTGAACTGGTTCAAACAGAGCGGGATTTCGTCAAGATACTAAGGGATGTTGCGGAGGGTTACATAGCTGAATGTCGACGACGCACGGATATGTTTACCGAAGAGCAGATAGAAACGATTTTTATCAATCTCGAGGAATTGTTAGACTTTCAATCTGAATTTTTGAAAGATTTAGAAACTAGGATAGATTGGAGTGCTCCGTATAAGAGTTGTGTCGGTGAATGTTTCCTAAATCATGTAAGAAAATTTAAACTGTTTCTTATATCTTTTTGTCTCGATAACAATTGTTTTAATGTTTTAATATATTCTCTAAACTGTTTCAGAGAGCAGGATTTCGCATGTATTCAGAGTATTGCAATAGTCATCCTATGGCTACCGCCACGTTACAAGAATTATATCAGCATAATCGTTACAGTAAGTTCTTTGAAGCCTGTAGATTAATGAGAGGATTGATAGAGATTCCTTTGGATGGATATTTATTGACGCCTGTGCAACGAATATGCAAGTATCCGCTCCAATTGGCGGAGTTGTTGAAATATACAAAATCTGATCATCCGGATTACCATAAAATTCAGGAAGCCCTTGAAGCGATGCGAGATGTCGCCGTTCTGATTAACGAGAGAAAGAGACGAATGGAAAGTCTTGAAAAGCTGGCTGCGTGGCAGCTAAGGGTTGAAGGATGGGAGGTATGAATT